AGTTACATAGTTACATAGCTGAAAAGAGACTTGCGTCCATCAAGTTCAGCCTTCCTCAGAAATGTTGTTGCTGTTGATCCAAAAGAAGGCAAAAAACCTGGTCTGAAGCACTTCCAATTTTGCCACAAACTAGGAAAAAATTCCTTCTTGACCCCAAAATAGCAGTCAGATGTCTCCTTGGATCAATCAGCTATTACCCCACTAATTAGAAATTATATCCCTGTATGTTATGTTTTTGTAAGTATTTATCCAATTTCAGTTTAAACATCTGTATGGACTCTGACAAAACCACCTCTTCAGGCAGAGAATTCCATATCCTTATTGTTCTTACTGTAAAAAAACCTTTTCTTTGCCTTAGATGAAATCTCCTTTCTTCCAGCCTAAATGTGTGACCTCGTGTCCTATGTATAACCCTGTTTATGAATAGATTTCCAGATAAAGGTTTGTACTGGCCCCGAATATATTTGTATAAAGTTATCATATCCCCTCTCAGGCGCCGTTTTTCCAAACGAAACAGATTTAATTTTTGTAACCTTTCTTCATAACTAAAATGCTCCATTCCTTTTATCAATTTTGTAGCTCGTCTCTGGACCCTCTCCAGTGCCATGATATCCTTCTTTAGAACAGGCGCCCAAAATTGCACAGCATATTCAAGGTGTGGTCTTACCAGCGATTTATAAAGAGGCAAAATTATATTTTCATCCCGAGAATTTATGCCCCTATTTATACATGACAAAATCTTACTGGCCTTAGCAACTGCAGATTGACATTGCATATTGCTGCCTAATTTGTTGTCTATAACAATGCCCAAATCCTTCTCGTGTGTGGTTATCCCTAATTCACTACCATTTAGTGTGTAAGTTGCTTGTGCATTCTTAACCCCGAAGTGCATAACTTTGCATTTCTCTATGTTAAATTTCATCTGCCATTTTAGTGCCCAGTCCCCCAATCTATCCAAATCTCTCTGCAACAAAGCAATATCCTGCTCACATTTTATTACTTTACAAAGTTTTGTGTCATCTGCAAACACTGATACATGGCTTTCAATGCCTATTTCAAGATCATTTATAAATATGTTAAATAGAAGTGGTCCCAAAACAGAACCCTGAGGGACACCACTTACCACTTTTGTCCAGCCTGAAAATTTACCATTAATGACAACTCGTTGTACTCTGTCCTTAAGCCAATGTTCTACCCAAGAACAGGAATATTCATCTAGACCAATTTCTTTTAGTTTGAAAACTAACCTATTGTGAGGAACCGTATCAAATGCCTTGGCAAAGTCCAAGTAGATCACATCCACTGCAACACCCTGATCTATACTTCTACTTACTTCTTCGTAGAATGCAATTAGGTTAGTTTGACATGACCTATGTTTCATAAAACCATGCTGATTATTGCTAATAACAAAGTTCTTCCCAATGAATTCCTGAATATTATCCCTTAATAGCCCTTCAAATATTTTCCCAGTTACAGAAGTTAAGCTCACAGGTCTATAATTTCCAGGCAAGGATTTTGAACCCTTTTTAAATATAGGAACAACATCTACCTTCCTCCAATCCTCCGGTACAACACCTGAAACAAAAGAATCTTGAAAAATTAAATACAGAGGTTCACTTATTTCCCCACTTAGCTCCTTAAGTACTCGTGGGTGAATACAGTCAGGCCCCGGAGCTTTATTTACATTAATTTTCTTTAATAGCTGTAGCACCTTGTCTCGAGTTATCCAGTCACAAGTTATTTGCAAGTTTTTTGCAGCAAACATTTGCATATCTCTTGCCATAGGATCCTCATTAATATATACTGAAGAAAAATAGTTATTTAAAATTTCTGCTTTTTCCTGGTCTTCATTAGCTAATAAACCCAACTCTGTTTCAAGTGTACCTACACTTTCATTTTTTTGTTTTTTTAGAATTGATGTACTTGAAAAATTTTTTGGGGTTGGTTTTGCATTCTTTAGCTATCAATTTCTCATTTTCTAGTTTAGCCACTTTAATTGCCTTTTTGCAAGTGTTATTGGCTTCCTTATATCTTAAATAGGATGCCTTTGATTTGTCTGATTTAAATTCTTTAAATGCCCTTTTCTTATTTTTAATCTCTTGTTTTACTTCTCTACTAAGCCACATTGGTTTTAATTTGTTTCTTTTATATTTATTACCCAATGGTACATACTGAGAAAGCAAACTATGCCTGGACAGAGACTCCAAAGAGGAACTTCGATGGTGGTTGGATCATATGGAGGCATGGAATGGTTGAGCAATCTTCGGCACCGCCCCGGACTTGGTGATAGAATCGGATGCCAGCCTGCATGGCTGGGGCGCTCGCTGTGGAAATGTCTCCACAGGTGGCAGATGGTCCGAAATCGAATCAGGGCTACACATCAACTGTCTGGAATTGCTGGCGGGATCGTTCGCTATTCGCAGCCTGTCTCCAACCCTGGGAAACTGCTGCGTCCTTCTGTGTATGGACAATGTGTCCGCGGTCAGATATATAAATCACCTAGGTGGCACGAAGTCAAAACAACTGGCGAATCTAGCGAAGGATTTCTGGCAATTCTGCCTCCACAGTGCGGTGTCGGTCACGGCCGAACACATCCCGGGTTTGGACAACGAATGGGCGGACTGGAATTCGCGATACTTGAAAGACTCCGGAGATTGGCATCTGTTACCTTCAATCTTCCGACAGATCACCTATGGGGCCCGTTACAACTGGACTTGTTTGCATCCAGACTGAACGCTCAACTACCCCAATACTTCAGTTGAAGACCGGATCCATCAGCCACGGCGGTGGAGGCGTTCCTGCAGATATGGCCTCGGGGTCGTCACTTTGCGTTTCCCCCTTTCAACCTGATCTCTCGGACGCTGGCATACTTGTCCGGACAAGAATGCACGTTGGTGGTGATAGTTCCCCTATGGCAGACTCAGCCTTGGTTTCCACGTCTTTTGGAGATGGCGGCGGAGTGCCCACGGATGATCAGGATGCGATCAGAGGTGCTTCGGGATCCGGATGGGAACTCGCACGACTTAGTGGACCAGAACCTGCTCCAGCTCACGTCTTGGTTGATTTCCGGGGACCCTGGTGTGTCTCGGACGTTCCGCAGGCTACTACAAGACTCCTGGAGAATGCCTGGGCACCGGGTAGCAGAACAGCTTACAAGGCTGCATGGCGTGTGTGGTCTGGCTGGTGCGTGGGGAGACTGCTGGATCCCCTTTCTGCCCCTCTGAAGGAGGTGCTCAGTTTTCTGACCACGCGCTTTGAATCTGGTTTGGCCTATCGCACTATCAATGTTTATAGATCGGCCATTTCAGCCAGACATATAGGTATTGACGGATCACCGATTGGACAACATCCTTTTGTGTGCCGTTTGTTGAAGGGTATTCGTTACTCTAGGCTTCCGAAATCCAGATATTCATCGTTTCGGGATGTTAACGTGGTGCTGGACTTCTTGGAATCATGGCCTCCTAATGAGGACCTGTCACTGAAGCAATTATCCTAGAAATTGGTTATGCTCCTGTGTCTCCTTTCATGCAAAAGGGTTTCAGATGCCAGGGCTTTGGACTGGAACGCGTTATCCTTCACCCCCGAGGGAGTGTCGTTTAACATCTCTAGGAGGACGAAGACGTCTTCTGAGTCAGTGACCTACCCTAGGTGTTCAGTCCGACCTGCTCTGTGTCCGGTAGCTTGCCTACAGGTGTACTTGAATCGCACTCACCTATTGAGGTCTTCGGATTTATCCCAATTGTTTATTTCATTTAAGAAACCGTTTCTCCCGATCTCCTCGACTACGTTAGCTCGTTGGATTAAGAACCTTCTATCCGCTGCAGGAATTGACACTTCCATATTTTCGGCTCATTCGGTCAGAGGCGCCATGGCGTCTAAGGCCTCCACGATGGGATGTCGCCTGGATGATATCCTGAAGGCAGCGGATTGGTCTAGGGAATCTACGTTCCGCGATTTTTATTTCCGCCCGATTGACCATGTTTCCTCGTTAGTTATGGCTCAGCTTTAAACTAGCATAATAGGAGCCTCCGTGCCATTAATAAAATTCCCAGATTTTACTAATAACATGACGTAAAGTCATGATTTTATTAATGACACGGAGGCGAGTATTATTCCCACCCTCCCACCCAGTGGGTATGGTTTGGGTCTATACTTATGGTTCAATCGGGTGGGGGCTCTTTTACCTCAAGGTAAGTGTTCACAGTTTTCTCTGACTTATTTGGATCTATGTACTTATGTGGTTCTGATTTGACGTTTTTTAGTCCTGCAGGCCAGATTGTCATGAAATGTTACATGCAGGTCCGGAGTTTGGATTTTACCTACCTTTTCTCTGTTTTACAGCTTGATTTCGTTAAGATGACATCTACCTTGTTGGAGATTGTTCTTTCCTGATGTGGAAGTTTGGTTTGGGTCTTCGGTTCAGAAGGCAAAGAAGAGGAAGTGGAAGTACTAAGCAAGGCATTTATGGACTGTTCCTACTAAGCTGATTGGCTGCCCTGTTACTAGGCACATCTGGTTGTACCTGTTATTATTATTTCATATCTACATTTTTTCTCTTTCAGTTTTATATTTCTCTTTGCTGCTGAGGAATAAAGTAAGAAAGAGATAGCATAATAGGAGCCTCCGTGTCATTAATAAAATCATGACTTTACGTCATGTTATTAGTAAAATCTGGGAATTAACAAGCATAAATGTAGCTGCAAGGTAGCAAACCAGAAGAGTCTGATTATCAGGGGTGTTTTCTAGGTGGCAATAAAAGTAAGGGTAAATTTTAGGGCCCTTTCCACATATATGTCCTAAGTCAAAGCCTAAATCCTACTCTGTTTTCTAACTCACTTTATGACACCAAACATTTGATTACATTTAAAGTATTGCAGTTGTAATCAAAAATATTCAACCCCCATTGAAAATCAGGTTTATTGTCAAATTTTACAGACCTTCAGCTGTTTGCAATGAACAAATCAAACAAAAGCAGTTGAAATAGGTCACCACAACGAATGCTTTAAGTGGTTTCACCACATTGCCACTTCTCCAGACTTAAAATTTTTCAACCCTCTGAATAGAATCCCTCACAACAACACAACTGTGCAAAACAGGTGTTGTGTCAAGCACATATGATGCAACTAAACAAGGGCTTCATTAGTTGTACCAGGTGTGCTTGAGCTGGAACACTTGAAATGTCTGAACTGGCTGGGGGTTTGTTGAATGTTAAGTTTGACTGCATGTTAGAAATATGGCTAAGTCAAAAGAATGGTCCACAAAGTTAAGAGAAGAAATGATCACCTGTCACGAACAAGGAACAGGATACAAAAAGATAGCAAGGGCACTGAATGTTCCTAGTGACACAGTTGGAAGCATAGTTTGCAAGTTCAAAGCTGAAAGAACAGTGGTTACACTACCTAGATGTGGCACAGAAAGGAAG